ATGGACGAGCCGAGCCGGGTGTGTGTCGGGGCGCTTGCTGCACGGAAGAGGAGGGAAGTTCTATGTCGCTTCTCCCCTCCTTGGCGCGGACATAGTGCGATGGGATTTCTATACGTACTGAAATACACTTTCGGAAAATGGCCTCTAAATCTTGGCTGAATTTTTTAACCTTCCTCTGTGGATCAGCAATAGGAATTTTTTTATGTTCTCAGCTATTTAGTGTTTTGTTGGAAGAACAAGGTGACACCCAGCCTAATATTCTTCATAATGATCCTCATGCAAGACATTCAGATGATAATAGACAGAATCATCTAGAAGGACAAATGAACTTCAATGCAGATTCTAGCCAACATAAAGATGAGAACAGACATCGCTGAAAACCTGTACCAGAAAGTTAAAATTCTTTGTTGGGTTATGACGGGCCCTCAATCTAGAGAAAAAAGCCAAACATGTCAAAGCCACATGGGCCCAGCGTTGTAATAAAGTGTTATTTATGAGTTCAGAAGAAAATAAAGACTTCCCTCCTGTGGGATTGAAAACCAAAGAAGGTAGGGATCAACTATACTGGAAACAGTGAAAGCTTTTCAGTGTGTTCGCGACCATTATTTAGAAGATGTGGACTGGTTTATGAAAGCAGATGATGAGACATATGTCACACTAGACAATTTGAGATAACTTCTTTCAAAATATAGCCCTGAAGAACCCATTTATTTGGGGAGAAGATTTAAGCCCTATGTAAAGCAGGGTTACATGAGTGGAGGAGCAGGATATGTATCAAGGAAAGAAGCCTTGAAGAGATTTATTGATGCGTTTAAAACAGAAAAATGTACACAGTTCTTCCATTGAAGACCTAGCACTGGGAAAATGCATGGAAGTTATGAATGTAGAAGCTGGAGATTCCAGAGATACCACAGGAAAAGAAACTTTTCATCCCTTTGTACCAGAACACCACTTAATCAAAGGTTATCTACCCAGAACCTTTTGGTACTGGAAATACAACTATTATTCTCCTGTAGAGGGCCCTGGTTGCTGTTCTGATCTTGCAGTTTCTTTTCACTATGTTGATTCAACAACCACGTATGAATTAGAATATCTCGTTTATCATCATCGTGCATATGGTTATTTGTATAGATATCAACCTGCCTTACCTGAGAACGTACTAAAAGAAGTAAGTCCAGTAAACAAAAATGAAGATCCAAAAGTAAAATTAGGAAACCCTCGAAAGGAACACAAATGAGCCAAGGTAAAAAGTCTGACGTGGCACTGAAGACTTCTGCATTTCTGACACAGAGCCTTGAAATCCCAGTGATGGATAGAAATCTTTCAAATGAATGACTGCAAACTGAAGCTTTAAATAAGCTGTTAAATGTTTTTTGATACAGTAATATATAAATCTATATAAGAACTTGTGTTTTTTAAAGTGGTGGCAGGTAGAACTAGAAAAGAGATTTTGTCACCTGTTCTCGACCATGTGTATTATTGTCACTGAGAAACTAAAACAGTTAAATTTGCTAAAACTGCAGTGTACCACATTAGTTACACACAGTGCTAAACAGATCTGCCTTAAAATTTTAGAAGGAAGTACTGTTGCTCAGTAGTTTATAAATTTATTTGCAGAATCATATAAATGAACCACTCCTCTGCACACAGTTGTCTAATGACGTTTGCTGTGATTATTTATATTAGCAGTATTTCTTAAAGAAGGTAGAATAAGAATGGCACTTACCATAAAGTGCATTATTAAAACTACATTTTAAAATTATTATGGGCCTCAATATACTTGGTTCTAATTAATCTTTTACTGAATCTGTTGTCTCTTCTTTTTTTTTTTGGTACCGGGGATTGACCTCAGGACCTTGAGCTTGCAAGGCAGGCGGCAGAACCACTAAGATAAATCCCCAGCCCCTACTCTGCTTTTTATTAGCAGATATTCAGCTGTTTCCAATCTTTTCTACTTCAAAAATTGCAGCAATGATTAGCTGTACATTAAAAAATGTAGCAGTCTGTCTCAAGCTTAAATTCCTAGATGTGCATTAAATATTGCCAATTGCTCGCTATAGAAGCTATACCAATGCATAGTCTCATTAATTAATCATGAATGATTCAGTCCACATCACCGTATTTTTCTGGAATCTAGCTCAGTATTGTTGATTTGCATGTTCTGTCCCACCCCCCCTACTGGGGATTGCACCCAGGGCCTTGGCACTGAGTTATCCCCCCCCCATGTCTTTTTTTTTTTTTTGTACTGGGGATCGAACTCAGGACTTTGTTCTTAAAAGGCAGGCACTGCGCCACTGAGCTATCCCCACCCCTATTTATGAGCCAGAGCTTAGTAAGTTGCTAAATTGGGCCAGGGATTTAGCTTAGTGGCACCACGCCTGTCTCAAAAGTGCAAGGTCCTGAGTTCAATCCCCATTGCCCCCCCAACCAAAAAACGTTGCTAAGTTGTCTAGGCTGAGCTTGAACTTGTGATCCTCCTGTCTCAGCCTTCCAGAATGTAGGTTACAGGTGTGCATCATGATGCTTGGCTACCCACACACTTAACAGTGGCTTGTGTTGACGACAGAAACAAAGGAAATTCTTTATAAGGAAATAATTAAGTCCCAGGCAAACCACCTGGGAAAACTGGGTAAATTCTCTTCTTAAGATGAATAAGGACAACCCATCTTTGTAGCAAATGTCCCGAAGAGTGAGGGATGGGCTAAGTTCTCCTTGATCCTTAGATCCATGATCATCTGAAAACAACTGCTCTATCCTTAGGGCAGGACCGTTTTCAGGCAGACTATTACCCTTACTAATTAATTTTTTAAAAATTACAAAGTAGTAGACCTTTTAATGTTTTTTTTTTTTTGGTACAGGGATCAAACTCAGGACCTCGCACTTGTGAGGCAGGCGTGGTGCCGCTGAGCTAAACCCCTGGCCCCTGTAATACACTTTCAATGTAAAACATTTGAAAAAGACAGCTAAGCAAAAAAAAAGAAAAAAGAAGAGTAGTAACATCAATACTGCTTCAAGTACTGGATATAAACAGTCCAATACTATTATTACCCTGCTCCATTTTACAGATAAAGACACTAAAGTTCCAAGAAATTAAGTAATTTTTTGTGTTTTGTTTTCGGTTCTGGGGATCAAACTCAGGACCTTGCTCTTTCAAGGTAGGTGCAGTGCCACTGAGCTAAATCCTTGGCCCTACGTTAAGTAATTTTTACATGATATTTCTAAAAGATGGTGTTACCATGATATAAACTCCAGTATTTCTAAAGACTGAAGTTAAATTTCAGAGCACTCATTCTGTAAAATCAAGAACACAGCCTAGAAAAGAATACTGCCAAATGAATACTGTTCTTCTTATTTATTTATGCACATGTACTTAGGAGTTCATCAGAGGAGCTCTCTTCAGCTTTCAACCTAATCTAGATAATCAGTTTCTCTCACTGTATGTTGGGTAATAGTGGTTGTTGTGCTGTTGTGATACAACTATCTACTTTTACTTTATATTAGAGTTATCTTCCCTATAAAGTTGTATCAATTTGTATTCTCACCAGCCGTCTCTGAGAAGTTTCTTCATATATTTACTATGCTTGTTATTCATTAAGTCTTCAAATGTATCCTTTCATCAAACTGGAATATTTACTGTCTTGCTATTGTGTAAAAAGTGCGTTTGTTAATTAACATGGAGAATAGTGTTGGAAATTGTTCAAATTACATCAGTGTGAGTGGAATATCCATTTTTGCCTGAAGGAGCTGACCCATGCGGGTCACTTTGACGCTTGATTTTTCAATCCAGACGCAAAACTTTAGATAATGAATTTCTGACCTCAAAGTCCACATTTATCTCTACTTTGAGCTTTTGAAAAAACAAGGATCTTGCCTCTGCTTCTCAGCTCAGGCCCAAGCCTGAGGTTAATCTGATACTGCCTACAACTCTGCTTTGCTTTGAGTCCATCAAAACACTGCTTTTGATTTTTATCGAAACTCCCTTTCCTCCTAATAACAACCTTTTTGTTTGGTGAGATGGGACCTCCGAATCACAATCTCCCTCACTGCAGCAAGTTCATAAATCGAACTTTGTTGACTACTTTGTTGTGTTTTGGTGGTCTTTATTTTAAGGCTTTGTCAATCCCAAACTATAGGTCCTAACTCTGAAACAGCAGAGGAGTTCTACTCTGTATCTTTTTTTTTTTTTGGTACCGGGGATCGAACTCAGGACCTTGCGCTTGCTAGTCAGGGGGCGGAAGCACTGAGCTAAATCCCTGGCCCTCTACTCTGTATCTTTTTACAGATTATTTTTAAAAACTGGAGGGATTCTCACCTGCTGGTAATGCAAGTTCTGCCCGATGAACTAGATTAAAAGTCAACATCAGGGCCGGGGATTTAGCTTAGGGACCCGAGTTTGATCCCCGGAACCAAAAACAAACAAACAAACAAACAAACAAACGTCAACATCAGTTTTTGCTTTCAGTTCCTGCAACGGCCCCTCCCCGCTAGTCAGAGCACTTTTCTTTACGTGGAAGTCTCTTCCCCTAGATCTTGGCCCGGGTTCTGCTCAACTCCTGGGACCTGCAGGTGCTCATCTAAGGTACCATCTCTCCCCAAGCTTCCCCCCTCCACCCCAGGGTGCTTTGTTTTCTTACCTCTCTCTGAAACTACCTTATTCCATTGCTCATTAAAAAAAAAAAATCTCCCCCGAGAAGGGAAGATCCGGGACCCGCCCGACCAACAGTTGTCAAATAACTGAGCAAGTGCCTCAACCGCCCCTGCCCCTTTCATAGCCTCCTGGAGGTCCTGGGGAATCCCAACTCCGGCCAGAAATAGGTGGAGGGCGTTCAGTCGCACCATTGGTTGGAGCGTTGGCCGTTGCTCCTGGCAACTGCTGTTTCCCACCAGTCCTGCAGTGGCTTCGCCCTCCCCGTTCATCCCATCCCGCCCCAGGCCCGGGCCGCGGCCCCGGATAAAATCGGCGCGGTCCCCCTAAGCCGCAAGACTTCCGGTCAGGTGGCCCGCGGCCGCCGGAAGGGGAAGTTTCGCTTCGGAACGCTGTCTCGCTCGTCCGAATTCGGTGGCGCCACGTCCGCCGTCAGCGCCTTCCGTACCTCGGCTCCCGCGGCTTCCGCCTCGACACCTTCCACTCGCGAGCCCGGCTGCGTCGTGAGGGCGGCTCAGACACTCGGGCGGCTGTGCGCATCCTGGCGACTGAGAGGCGAAGATGTCGGACATCGGGGACTGGTTCAGGAGCATCCCGGCCATCACGCGCTACTGGTTCGCCGCCAGCATCGCGGTCCCGTTGGTCGGCAAACTCGGCCTCATCAGCCCGGCTTATTTGTTCCTGTGGCCCGAAGCCTTCCTCTATCGCTTCCAGGTACTGGCCGGCGCTGGGGAATGGAGACTACAGGCCCCAGGCGGCTCCGCGGCGGCGGAGCGGGCGCCGGCCCGGCGCGGACGCGCGGTGCCTGGTGGGATTTGTGGTGCGTCCTGTTCCAGGGGTTGGGGGTGGGGTCCTGTGAGCCGGGGAGGCCCTGGGGTCGCGAGCGAGGGCTTGAGAGCTGGGGGCGTGGGTTCGGCCTGGTGGGAAGGGACTGCCTTCCCCCCGTGCAGTGAGAGTGTGCTTCCCGCCCTACGCCGCTGAAGGAGGCAGTGAGAAGCTAAGTCAGTGGCTGCTGTCTTTTGGATGAGGCGTGCCCTTTGACGACTTGTCACCCACATGCCTGCGTGGTCCTGCTTAGTCAGAGTTGTCAACTCGACTTTGTTGGCATGTTAGTGGGGCACCTTAGCCCCTCGAGTGACTTTAAGGGCAGAGATACAAAGGATGAGTTTACGTGCACTTCCCTGGGCCCCAACCTAGTGTTGGCTTGTAGTAATTCAGCCCAAGACCAAAATAAAGAGTACATTGCTTCAGAAGTGGAAGCCCTTGTTACTTTCTTACGTGTGAAGTAAGAGTGCAGACGGCAAGAGAATATTAATTTCCCAGAAGTTCTTTACTGGCAGTTTCTGTAATTTAGAATTAATCCTTGGCATGTTAGATTCCAAGAGCTGACTTTAATTTCAACACATTACTTGGCCTGTGGGTAACACTCCTTTGCTCCCTACCTCACTGGGTATTATTTCTTAGTCTCCTTTGCTGATTTCTCATCTTTCTGATCCTTAAATGTTGGGAAATGTCCCAGGAATCAGTTATAGACCCTTTTCTATAGACTCTCGCTAGCCCAAGGTGGTACCATTCAGCCTCGTGGCTTTAAACATTTTATAAAAATGGAAGACTGTCAAATACAGTATAAAATTTTCAGCCTATATTTGTCTCTTGGTTTCTTGGTCTCTTGTCTTCTTGGTTTTTACATCTGTCAGACTTTTGGAAATCATCACTTGGATGACCAGTAGACATCTCAGTCAAACTTGATGTGGCCAAAAACCAAGTTTGCTTTCTCAGCTCCATAGTAGGAACTCAAGCTAACAGTGGTGGAGTTATCTTTGACATTTTTCTCTCGCACACCACAATTCTGTCAGAAAGTCCTATTGACTGCACCTTAAACATAATCCAGAATACAGTCCCTTTTCATTCTCCACTGCATGCCATTATCATTCCATCCTAGTTCCTTTTCATCTTTTTTCTCTGAACAGCTGGAGTGATTCTTTTAAAGCATAAATCAGACCTGTCAGCCTGCCCAGAATACTCCAGTGTCTTCTCAACCTGATGAATAAAATCCAAGTCCTTTTAGTGGCCTGCAAGGCCCCTCCTGCGCTTCTTATCTCATCTCCTACTGTTTTGTCTCTCGTATGTTAGGCTCTGTGATGAAGCCCTTGCTGTTTTTTCAGCGCCTATTTGGATCCCTCCTCAGGCCCTTGGTTTTATTTATCTGCCTGTGGGAGTTAACCACTGCTCACACATTTGCCTTGCCATGTCCTTCAGGTCTCAGTGCAAATGCCACCTTATCAGCAAGGCCTTCTCTGTCAGCCGTACATAAAATATTACCTCTCTTTCATTCCATTTCCCTTACCCTAACTTTTTTGCAGTATTTCACCCCTTGGCATTTGCTAGCCTGCTTCTCTCCAGAGAATCAAGTTCCATGAGAGTCAGATCTTTTTCCTGTCTGTCCTGACTTTGTTATTTAGAATAGTACCTGGGACATAGTAGGTGCTTACGTATTTGTTGAATTTGTGGCAATAAGTGGGTGCTTGCTATGTGCTGGGCATTGGGAATACAATAGCAAGTAAGACAGAAAATGTTCCTGCTTGTATGAAGAAAATAGAGACACATGTGATAGAGAGTGATTTAAGGCTGTGCAATATTTTTGAGTGTTCCAGAACAGTCTTGGAAGACATTTGAAGAATGTCTTTGGGTAGATCTAGCAGTGGGCACCACCTTCCAGAAAGAAGAAATAGTGAAAGGCTTGAGGCAGGAATAAAGGGAAGACTGGGAGGGTGGTACAAAGTTAACTGCAGGGGTGAGGATCAGTAGATGTGGACAAGGAGCTAGCCAGGGGTGAGTTCGTGAAAGCAAAGAAAAAATGGTAGGTTGGGGCAACATAGAGGGCCTTGCAGACTATGTTAAGAGGTTTGAATTTGATTTAATTTACAGTATTTTTTTTTACAATGCTGGCGATTGAACACAGGGCCCCCAGCACAGCTGTGCCATTGAAGTTTGAGGGCTCTGTGGAATTTGAGAGCCTTGACTACTCTCTGGAGTGGACTTGGTGTATGGGGAAGTGCTAGGTGATGGGATCAGAGCAGCACACAACTTAGCAAGAGAGATGGTGGTTTTGACCAGGGTGGCTGTGAAGATAGAGGAGAGTGGATAGATTTGGTAGTTGGAGTGAACAGGCTTGCTGCTGAGTGGATATGGAGGGAGAATGGGTGAAGGAAGAAGGACTTAAAGATGCCAGTGCTTTCCTGGAGCAACTTAGCGATGGTGCAGCCCTTTATGGAGATTGGGAATGTTCAGGGAGGCTCAGGTTCAGTGGGGAGTGTGGTTGAATGGTCACGCCATGCTTTAGCCATTGTGAAGTCTTGAGACACTTTTTAGGCATTCAGGTGGAGAAACCAAGTAAGGAGTTGGATCAGATAGAAAGTTAGATATAAGAACATGATTCTAGAGCATAGCCAGAATTACATGCTGTTTTCTATTTATTTACTTCAGCAAACATTTGTTGGTAGAGTGCATGTTGTACACTTTGTGTCTAGTGGCATGTTGGGTAATGTGTGTGCAAGGATAGCAGTGATTGTTTTGTAAGAAGAGCTTGGTCCATATTGAGTCTGACCCTTCTTGCAAAATCTTCCTCATTTGTGTAGTCAGATTAGTAGAGTAAATGACATTAAAAAGCATTTAAAAAAAAATTAGGCTGCAGGTGTAATGTTGAATAGAAAAAGCCATCATTCATCATTCATGTCACACCTTCCATGATTTCCCCATCTTCCTTGCATTGTGTTTTCCAGGTTTGTTGTCCTTAGACTAGGAGAAGCTGTTGGCAGGAGGCTACACAGTGCCCTGACTCCCAGGGTGTGAAAAGACCAGTAGCTGTGCCTTGTCTGTGGTTTCTGTTACTCTGACTCTTGATCCCGACAAGATTAGCTATCAAACCAACCTGGAGGAACTCGTTTCCCGATGATGCAGTTGAAGAAAAGCTGCATCTGAGGGCTCAGTGTGCCAGGACAGTGTGTAGTATGCTTTTGTGGAGCTTATGTAAGAGACTCACCTCTTCTTTAGAAGCTGCATCCATAACAGCTTAAAAAAATTAAGGGATGACTGATTTAGCATTGTACATTCATGTTGGAAGTGACAAAAGTCACTTTTTTCTCTTTATCCGTAGGTTTCCTCAGTATAGCTTGATGGTTTGGAATGTCAAAGTTTAAAATGTTACTTCTCTGGTTTGGTTAGGTCAAAACAGGTGTGAGCTAAGACTCACTACATGGTCGTCCCCATCCTATTCCTCATCCCTTGGTCTTAATGCTCATCAGCCAAATAGTTCATAATGATGAAATGTCCTTATTTGGTCCTTGAGTACAAGGGAGGTGGCAGTTTCTTGCTGCCTAGTGTTCTGAGATTATTTCTCCCAGGGCTGACTGCACTGTAACATTTCCTCATTTCTTTGCACAATATAACCTCACCCCTTATAACTGTGTTGCATTTTTCCATGTTATCACATTCATATCCCATGATTATCCTGGGATAACTGTTAGCCCATTCTTTAGGCAGCTGCAGTTTCAGTTTTTATTTTGTTGAGTTGACAATAGGTCTAAGTTACCTTTTATAGCTCCTTTGCATAATATCTACCAAAAATAATTCAGTGTTTAGTAAAACATTTTGGGAAGTGACTTCTTCCAAATTAATTATAACAGATTATTTTCCCCTTTTTGTTAGACTAGAAAGACCATAGGATTTCAAATAATTTGAGTCAAGATCTCAAGGCTCCTTACAAGTGTACCCTTAGGCAAATTGTTTATACTTCTGAGCTTCACTTTCTTTATCTAAAAGTGGGAATGATATAAAACCATAATTACTCTCTTCTAATATTTCATTGATTATATCATATTTCATCAGTTTAATGTAGCTTTTTTGGGGGTGAGGGATAGAAATGAAAATATTAATTTTGAGATACATCCTAATTTTAGAAACAAAAGTGAATACCTTCAAATTGAGATATGTTATCTACTTTCTGCCTCTCTTAAATGGAATACAAAGAAAAGTGTTTATAAAATACCCAGAAAATAGCATGATTAACAAGCTATTCAAAAATAGTTGCCTATTTTTATTTATCAGTCACTAATAATATTTGTCTTATTGCCATCTGTCTATGTGTGTTAGTCATTTTTCCATCACTGTGGGAAAATAAGTGAAATAAACAATTTAAAAGAAGAAAGGTTTGTTTTGGCTCACAGTTTTAGAGGTTTCAGTACATGGCTTCATTGTTTCTGGGCCTGTGGTGAGGCAGAGTATTGTGGTGGAGAGTTTGTGTCAGAGCAAAAGTGCTCACTTCATGGTGACCAGGAAGTAGGAAGGTTGCAAACAAAACATACTCTTTTTTATTTTTTTATTTTTTTGGTACTGGGGATCGAACTTAGGACCTTGTGCTTGTGAGGCAGGCACGGTGCCACTGAGCTAAATCCCTGGCCCAAACAAAATAATATTAAGAGAGTGTCCACCCAGAGACCTGCTTCTTCTAATTAGGTCCTAGCTCTGAGTTGGCATTGCCTCCAAATAGCCCACTAAGCTGTGAATCCCTCAAGAGATGAATCTTTTGATGATCCAGGCACCTCAGAATGGTTTCACCTCTGATCATTGTTGCCTTGGAAAGCAAGCCAGTAACACATGAACCTTCAGGGACATTTTGGATCCAAACCATAACACCGTGGATAGTAAGATTTACA